GGGTTGGGGGGGGGGGGCTGTGAACGACTTTCAACTACAGCTCTTCTAAAAATACTGTCGTCCTTTAAAAAGTCTCAGCTATTGATAGACTGCATTCAGAAGACTTACTGTACATAAAAGCCTTTCTGTGACACGACTGCCTTCTGCAGAGGTTCAACACTGGAGCCTGCATGTGCTCTGTTATAGGGACTGCTATGAGGCTACTTGTACAGAAACATGTAAAACTGTATATTTAGGATTATGAACTGTTGGTTGCATAAAACAAGGACTCTGAACACGTCTCATTGGGCTGTGGGAAATTATATAAACAATTTTCTTGCATTTCATAAACAAAATGATTAATTATTAAAAATAGCCAATGCCACATACACACTATAATCTGACTGACAATGAACCCATTTTGCAAATATCTCTGCATCAATGACTGTTACGACGTTAGCGATGTCAATTTATACAGCTGCTTGTAGACGGAAGTGATTTGGAACCGATAGGCTGCATTAGTAATGCTGACATGAACCATCAGAGACCGATAACAACACGAGTCAGTCTGTTGGCATGTAGCCAGATGAAGTACGATATTTGCATGTTGAGCTCATTGTTACGCCTCCAACAACAAAGGACAACTGCAAAGGTGCCAATTTCAATCAGACTCATTGAAGGGCAAAAACACACACAGAAGGATAAAGCTAGTGGAGGAATGTAAAGAAAAGGGCAATGAGTTAAACTACATCTGACTTCACAGAGTATGTAAATGAGGAGGAGGCCTAGTCAGAGTGTGTAGAGAGCGGAGCGGTTCATCTCTTGGGCTTCGGCCATCCCGGGTTTTGGGCAGAAGTGAAGCAGTAGGTACTTGTTAGGGCAACAGTCACAGATAATCACTATGTAAGGACCACTCCACATAGTGGGCAGATAAGTGGGAGACCCCCCTCCTGCCTGTGCCCATATTAGTCACTCTCAGGAGGAGAGAGGGATAAATATAGGGCCTGGTTCTATGGAGGGCAAGCCCCCCTAAGGCCTTATGAGTTTACACCAGAGACGGATACAGCCCATGGGAAAGACAGGGAGTTAGCCGGTGTGTGTGTGTGAGACATGTCTGCATGTCCACAGGTGCACGTTAGGCCCTGCTGCTTGGAAGTTCAGCCACGGAAAATGTGTCACAAGCAGAAGATAGTGACAGAAGGATGAGAACTTCATGGGGCGTCATGAACGTAGAGTGTGTCCTCTGGGTGTGTGCGAGTGACACCCACATGTTTGGCTCCACTACTGCTACGGTTTCGTTAATAATCCAGCGTGCCGGCCGTGGTCCAAGCACCAGCCACCTTAGTGGACTAAACAACCCGCCCCGCCGTGCCGTGCTATTCTGAGAAGGACTCAGATTACATTTTAACTTACAGTTAAAACAAACTACAGGCAGTAAAAGTGTATATGCTGAAGAAGCTCGGTGAAATAAAACTGAATGCTGGTCGAATGAGGACATCTGTAGCTCGGTGGGTAGCAACATTGGCTCAATAAGTGCTTCCATTCCCACTTTAACAGCTTGTGGTAATAAAAAAAAAGGAGAAAAAGTGTAATTGTACTTTTTGTCAACCTGCGGAGCATCCATTAACAAACAGACACTATCAGGTAGCTACACAGCTGGTCTGATCTCGAGTCGTTTACTGACGCTAAGGATACAAACTTAACTTTATTTGATTGTAGAAGCTTCACACACACACACACACAAGCATAAAGTAGTGACCTATATCCAGCTGCTGAGAGTTCCTCACACAAACACGTTTCGATCTCTTCCGTTTCCTTTTGGAAAAGACGCAACACAAACACAGAGGAAGAGAGGGGTTTACTGGCACTTCTAAACACACTTGCTGGGAAAACAATGAGGGTTTAGACGCCGTTCAGCCACAGGTAACACTTAACTCCACCGACGGCCTCAAGGCTTGTAATTACTCATTCAAAACCCCCGGTTAAAACATTCTGCCGCGTACAGGCGTCCACACCACCAACAAACAGACATTATGTGCACACACACATGTCGACACACTGTAGGTGCTACGGATGAAAGGATGCCAAAATCCCCCCCCCGCTTTGTGATGAAGGCCATCCTGAGCAATACAAGGGAGTGGTGATTAAAAAAAAAAACAAATCATGCAACGTGGCCAACCAATCCAGGAAGTCAGAAGATTTCCCACATCTGCTGCTATTTACTACACACACACACACTCGCCTGTATGCGTCTGGCAGTAACGTCTTCCCATAAACCTTCTTTATGCAAACTCACTTTACTTCCTTTAAAGACAGGGTGCACCCTAATAAACATTAAATGTTTGCTTAATCGCCTCACTGCACAATCATGCGTAAGACTGCTGGGAAACGATGCAATCGAGAGGCGGACCTCGACTTTCCTGAAAACCGCCACAGAAGAACAGTTCTCATGCAGGGCACAACCTCTTACCGACTGCACGGAAATGTTACACAACAACATCAGAAACACAGAAACGAAACAGATTGAATTGGGTGATGTTGATTTCATCATCTTTTAATCCAGCTGCAGTAATTTTCCCCCAAATTTGTTGAGCCGGCTCCACATGCAGAGACCAGCCTTTGATCCGGACTTGAAGGGCAAACTTGTCTTCACCGCACGTACCAGTCAAATAAATCCTAAATCTCACAACAGAAAGGAGCCGTTACCTCACTTTGCCTTGATGTCCGCAGACACCGAAGATCACAGATGAGATCAGTGTTGGATTGATTAGAGTGAACCTCCTCACATCGCTGCTTTAGTATCAATGACGCCAGAAACATGATACGTGAGAGTGAGTTCAGTCTTTGTGATCAGCGGCAAGTTTGTAGTTATACAGCACATTTTATACAGAAATATATAAATTCTAAACAACATTGCTGTCTTTTTTTGTCTTCTTCAGGCTTGTTCAAGTTATTTTTCAGAATGTTTACTTAACCCTTAATAACAACCATGTTCATAACACCAACCACTCACAGGTGCAACCCCACAAAGGTCCAGCCTTGGACAAATACAAAGGGACAAAAACTCCTGATGGGAAAATCAGGTGAATCAGTAGCGTTGTGGTTTCCCGCTATTGCTAGGTCCTGGACCTGTGGAACAGGTAGGGTGAGTCACTCCGCACGCGGAGCCATTGTCTTCGTAAGGTCAAAAAGGCAGCAGCGAGATGAGTAAGAACCTTCTACGTCACCAGGAAACGCGTGCAACACAGATGTTGCAAAACTTTTACCCACGCTCTGCTTACTCACAGTGTTAAAAACCGGAAACATTGTTACTACCATGTCCAAACACAGACTGAATGAGGAAACTTCTAATCCACATTTACATGTATTATTAGCAGGCAGACTAGCCACAATACAACAAGTCAAACAGAGACAGTAACCTCGCAGTTTCTATATTTTAGAGGTGAGGTTGTGCTCATATGTAATCAGGTGCTGTCTGGTGACCGGTCTCAGCATGTGTCCTTGTCTATTAATGTATAAAACCTTCTCAACCTACATTATATTCCATTATACGACCTGATGTCCAAAACGTGCCACTTTGTTTGTTGTTGTTTTTTTTAACTCACAGCTGGTTGATCTGATTTTGGGACACCACCGAGTCGTCGCTGAAGTAGGGCACCATCTTGGCCCCGCAGCAGGAGCAGAAGCTGACCGCCGACGAGCCGTCGGATCCGGACACCGCTCCGAGCGTCATGCCGGCGACGGGGCGCAGCGCAGACGGAGGACGGCTGTCAGGTGTTCTCTTGGTCCGAGAGAGAGAGAGTAAAACTTTCACTCTGTTCCCACAGTCACGTGCTCGGTCATGTCGAAACGTCTCTCAACTTCCTCCGTTGTCGCTGGTCGTAATATAGTGGAAAATGACAGATTTATTCCGCGTAAGTAAGGCGCGTGTTTCCAAATCGCGCAATAAATTACGCGTAACTGTTTGAGCCTAGCACGCTGTGAGCCTGCTCGCGACGAGATTTGAAAATAATGAACAAGTGTCCGTACCGTTTTCTAAACATTCGTTATTTATTCAGCAACATCCTCCACCACGTACAGTACAGACACATATGACTTGGGTCAAACTCTCGCTGCAGAAGCCATAGGAGGGAGGAGTTGGAGACATGTGGTGATTTTTTTTTTTTTTGGAAGAGTGGGGAGCCAATGAGGACAGCAGGGGATGTAGGACCGCCCACAACCGCCAACCCCCCTCTACACCGACACTTGTACAGAAAACGCTGGCAGCAGTACAGGTATTTAGTCCAGCAGTTTATTAGACTGTTTGGTTCCTCCTCTCTGCGGGCTGATCAGAAAACTCACTGCATGCAGTGTTTGTTTAAAAGCTGCATACTCTTGTTACTACATAGTAGCCCATGAAGGATTATATCATACAGTTGGTTATTAATACTTTGTAATAATCTTAATTCTATTGTTACAATAGGGTGTCCTGGTACCACAGGGTCAATAGATGTTCTCATTAAACTAATACAATAGAGTCAATTGAACCCACATGGGATTTTTTTTGGTTTGGCGGTGAGCTCATTGAGGAGCCTTCACTTTGTCTCCTCTCCGCCCTTTTTCCTCCCAACACGCAGGCGTTGTGGTTGAGTTACATAAGGAGCAGGAACAGATGACAAACAGGCTGAAGTTATCCGGACTGAGGCTCACGGTGTCTCGGTAACGTGGCGGTGGTGAAGGAAGTGTGGGGGCAGAAGCGACCCTCCTCACACCCAGGTGGTCTGAACGGACACGCTGTATGCTGGGAGATGGACGCGATGTTTTGGTTCCTTTTACAGCCTATTAAAAGGTTTTATATGCTGCTGGCGTGCAGACATGCGAGGATGTAAGCTGACAACAATTTGGAAAACACTGTAAAACTGCAGCACCCTCATCATATTCACACCCGCGTGTGCCAAGAGCCCGAAAACTAAACGAATACATCCGACTCTGAAGCAGAGCCAAGCTTTATTGTAATGTTTATGGAAGGCCTGCTTCATGCTTTGGCTGTTTTCCAGAGCAGAGAGGTTATCAATGAGCAGTCTGACTGACACATAGGGCACTATTTAGTATGCTCAGTGTTCACAGTCTTTGCAGCCCATTGTTATTCACTGTAATAAGCACAGTGTTGTTATTCTAGGTCCATGAGCATCCTCTGACCTGTGAGGCTGTGGTTGAACTTGCTACTGATCGTGGACCGACCACAGCACATGAAGCCTGGATTAGATGGCGATTTAGAATTTGTAGCTAATGCATCTTAACCGACCCACATGCACAGGATCCAATGTGGCGTCGCACACAAGCCTCATATTTTCACAAGGACCCGGCTCCATTTGTGGCCAATGGAAACAGATTTTGGTCAGATGTATGGTTATGGTTATTGTTATTGCTAGTGGGTGGGACTTGTCTGAAATGTCTCCTCTTCTCAGTGTTTTCTGATGTTTATGCATCTTATAAAACATTTTAAAAGAAATTAATTGTATTGTGACGTTTGTTATGCAGTGCATTCAGTCACATGACATGTCAAAAAAGTACGAGACGAACATTTTGTTCAGTCCTGCAATACTACCATGCAGAGATCAGCCTACATCCTGTGTGTTTTAATAGCAGCCAAAGGTGGGCTGTTTGTAAAAAGCCGGGTTTCCTTTACACAGAGCATCAGATCTATTAGTGTTTTAATTTAAAGTCAGAGGTGAGTCCTGTCCTCCTCAGTAATACAGAGCACCACAATAACAGCTGGGACACAAAACACAACAATACAGGGATGTCTACGGCAAGCCTCTTCTTCACAGAAGTGTGGTAACAAATCAGAAGAACCCTGCTGCATACTCTCTAACCGAGTGTAAATTAAAATGTTATCAAAGACTGTAAGACGAATTAAAAACGTCTAACCTCTTGCCACTAAAATAGAATCGTTTCTCCTCATGACTAAATTGGAAAAAGGAACACGGACGCTTTATTACTTGAAGCTCTCTTCTACAATGTACTTTCAGCAACGCTATTGTTAGTTAATAGGTTAACATATGAAGGAAAACATTTAAAATATCTGATCAGATCAACTTTATGGGATATTATAAACTACGTGACAATGCTTTACATTTAGGCCTGTCACGATAATTTAACTTATCATACGATACAGGGACATCAATTACTCTTGATGATCTAGATATTGCTTGTTGTGTTTACATGCGTGTTTGTTGACATAAGAGTGTCACCAACGTGTTAGCCAACAAGATGCCAGAATTACCAGCAGGCTTTTCATACTATAAGAGTTGGGCACTGCGCAAATTTGAACAGACATTTTATTTATTGTTTTGATTGCATGGTTTCATTACATTTATTTAGAATATTTGTTTCACATATTAATCCCAATGTTCCAATATTCTTAAGAATTAAAAGTTCACTGCTGTTTGAAAGGATGTACTTGGATTATTGTGTTTTATATAATATCATTATATCAGTGGCATAAAGCGGTCTATAAATGACATGAAAATAATATCGTTTATCAGACAACATTGTCCGACCAACGCCGTTATCGTGACCAGCCTTTTCACAATCTCAGTGGGGTTGAACTATTTTATTGGACATTTTCAAGTAGATAAACACATGGCGAGGGATAGTGTAGGAGTATCTGTTAACGACTCTACATGTGACCTCTGCTCGGCTAAACTGATAACATCCAATATGAACACACCAACACCTGCCCTCACACTACAGTAAGCTTTACTCTGGCTCACCTTCCCATCAACAACTGTTGCATCACAAGACAGGTTGCCAGCAACTTTAACCACAACATCCACACCCACACCCACACACACACACACACACACAGCAGCTCTAGTCATGTGGTTCTAGTCATGGTGAAACAGTGGGCTGGTAATGCGAGAGTCTGTTGTGGTTGTTTAGTTGAGACCTGGAGAAGTTTCACGACCGTCTTCTTCTTTCAATTTGACTGGAATTGGCAGAAACATGCAGGTCAAAGGTTCTGTGGTTATTAAGTTGTATATACTTCAAAGTGTGTGTGTGTGTGTGTGTGTGTGTCCTATAGAGAGCCCTACAGTATATTATCCTGGGACCTCCTTGGTCAGTACAGGAAGCCAGCTGTTTGCCATATGCTGAGCTGGAGATGGGCTACTGTTAGAAAAAGCTATACAACATGCAGAATAATTTACACTGCCTTGAAAAATATCCTAATAAATCATCCCTCTCTCACCTAAAAAAAACGGCCATCACACCGAAGGTTAAGAAGTGTGATGGCGTTGTAGCTGTGGCTAAAAACACCAAACAGACATCAACACAGGTTGCTAGATTGAAAGCAAAGCAAAGAACAGCTGGACTGCAACGCCTTCCGTTCAAATGTTTGCAGACTAGTCGGCCCCCTCCTGTTGCAATCGGAGCACTTAACCTTGGAGAAACAGGCGGGACTCTTAAGATAACACAGACAAAGACGGACCTGTTAGCAGAAGCAGCCTGTGTACAGTAACCAAACATGTACAGCAGCTAAGAAGCAATGCTGGGTAAAAATACTTGATGATATACGCCCATGTAGTCACTAACCAAGACGGGGAGTATGTTCTGTCCATGTTTAGCTGTAGGAAGACAGGAGGCAGGTGTGCTATCCACCGTTGAGTGTAATTAGCCACCTATAAACTTAAAGAGGCATGTCTCCACATGAGGAGACGGAGCTCTACCAATGAACACAGGTGGTGTTCTCCGGCTTGGAGTTCCTTACAGAACCCTGCTCTTCTAGTTCTTCTGATAGCAGACTCATTAAAGTCTTGGCTGGGTGAACCTGCTCTGCTTGTGTGCATCTGGGTCAGAGCTGACGCACAAGTCAATAACCTGCAAACTTAACTGTGCAAGAAGAGACTTGCACCACAAAGTCTTCTGATCAGTGAAGAGTCAGGACGTATAGCTCGGTCAGTCTGCTGTTTCAATCTTGTGATGCTGCAGCTTGTGACAGTTGTGCCTCATCACACCCCTGCAGAGAGTCCCGAGAACGATAGGAGGCCGCCACAGCACAACAATCAGCAGCTTTCACCATTGTTCCAACCGTTTCAATATTGATTTAGAACAGAACAAAAGAAACCTCAGATGTTAGTTTCGTAACTCTGGATGGAAAAAAAGAAGAAGTTCCTCTGACACTGTCCTTGACAGTCGGCATCAGTCCTGAGGCAACAGTGTGTGGCAGAGATTCACTATTGCACTGCAGTGATGTTACTCTTCATTGGTGTGGTGCAGGGGGTACAGACAGCTGTGTGTGTGTGTGTGTGTGCGTGCGTGTCAGAGAAGTACAGGCTGCGAGTAGTCAGCTGAATAGCTGAAAGAGAAAAGAGACAAAGACTCAAGAAAGAGTGAAAATATCACTGCGCTGCAAATGCCAAAGCTCCCCCTCAGTCTCAGTGGCTCCTATACAATATATTGGCCCCTGCTGCTACTTGGATCCATATGTAGGGTGGGGAGTTAATTGGACCTCGGCTCTTATGTAACATGCATTAGGGGTCACTCAGCGAGGCCCTTGGCTGCACCCTGCATGTCTGTGCGAGTGCGGGTTCGTGCTATGCTGAGCAAATGGCGAGCAATGCAAATGGTGAAACAGGAATATAATGATGTTAGGCACATGGGGAATAAGCTGTGCACACACACACACACACACACACACACACACACACACACACACACACAC